CGTGCTACAGATGGCGTTTACTGCACAATTTGTAGTATTTTCTAAAACGCACTGTTAAGACAGCAGGTAAAAGTTGTTCTGTGTTCTGTCGGAGCTGCCATCGACGCGCTGATGAGATCCAAAAAGATCGAAATCGCGATCCGCGTCTGGCAGTTTCGACAGAATACAGACCACTTCGAATTATTTAATTCATAGTAAAATTATTTGCACAGATTAATTTGGAATTATGGCCTAGTTATGTCGTTTCATCGGTGCTCGAATATATATTTATAAGTATGCATATACAATGTCAATTGTTTCTGTGCATGCTGTTGAGAGTCGATGTATTGCTACTTAGTCACTTCACCATTTACATATTTATTACATGTGGGTTATTTTTTAAATGTGATGTTTGTTTCATTAGTCAGTAAAATTTACAACATTTGAAACTTCACTTCAGAAAGTGAAGAACAAATCAAAATTTGTTTGAGTGGATTCATGGAAGTAAAAAACCTACACACAAAGCACATACATATGTGTATGTACAATGTGAGCTATGTAGATAGATACTTTACGTTTCCTTCAATCATTTCATTTTAACGATAACGACTTGCAAACTCACTTGATCGAGGTCGTCTTAAATTATCTACATGTGGATACTTGATGTACACACATGCATATGTATATACGTAGCTAATAACCTGCAAATTACTAAAGGTTCGAACAAATATTTACTTTCACGCATTATTGACTTTCATCAGGCAAGTTATACTATCCATAAAAAGGATAAAATGAAATGCTAGTTCTTTTTTGGAAATTTCCTTATCATTCCTTGATAATAATATTTATTTTTCAAATTAATCAGTAAATTAACATGAAATACTTCTATAAATAGAACGTGTCGTAATTGTTTGTGACAGGGGTGGATGACATCGAAGAGCAACACAGTGCATTAATTAACAGATAAGCGTAGTTACCCCGCTCTTATGAACAAATCGTCTGTTTATTGAAAAGGAAAGAAACAGAAACAGTCTGTATCACCGACGTTTTAGAAAGAGATGCGATAACTGATTGAAATTAATCGAAATCACTAGTTTTGGATCGCAATTACGATCTTACTAGTTCTCATATGAAAAATCAGAAATATGCCAATATAAAAGTTGATAAGTTTGTTGGTCATAAAACTCATACCGACGTTTTGTACTTTGTTACGAGGCCTTTTCGTTGTAGGTAGTTAAATTATATTGGAACAACTTTAGCCAACTTTAACCATCAAAACATGCAATTTTGAGTGAGCGTCTTTTTTTATGAATATTAAGATAGCGTTGAGGAAATACAATTCATACGGGTTTCAGAATAACACCTACAGAACTAAAGTAAATTATAACATAGCAGGAAACGAAACGATGTTGTCTTTAAAAGCAGAAAGTTCACCCTCCCTTAGGAAAGAAGTCTTTTTTAATTATTTTGAAGTCACGAAAAAGTAAATTTCATTAGCTAGCATCTAATATGAACAATTTATACGAGTTCTGAATGAGCTGGAGATAGAGAAGCATTTGCATTTGCATTTGCAATTTCCTTACAATTCCGTTAAACAATTATCAGGCAGGCAAGCTGTTGCATTGCAATCATGGACATACACTAATTGACTGAGCATTTTTATGGAGAGGTTGCTATGCAGTGGAGTGACATTCCCTGTTTTTCTTACAACTGTTAATGGTCCTAATATATTCCGTACCTACATTAAGACGAAATTATATTCAATCTTTGAAGTTAATAACTGCTTAGGTAGATTAATTAGAATGAGAAATTTCCATTAGCTATTCTTTTTAAGGCGTAGATAGCGTTGTGGATTTTTTAATCAATTTTTTTATTTGCATCATTCTTCAATTCAACACAAGAAAATATTAAGAAAACATCCCTTATTTTTGATATGATCCACTGCTAGGGATAGAGCAATTCATTGGTAGCTTCTTTATATTCATAATTGCGTGAAATCCAACATGGGAGTCAAGGGAGGAGCCACTTTTTTAACTAATCCATCTAGAATTTTAAACTAAATCCAAATATATCGTAGTACATAGTTGTTGATTTACTTTAAGAAGATCCTGTTATGAGCAGATTTGCTATTTCCAAATTTGTAGTTATGTTAAAAGTGAAATACTCCAAATCGAAAGGGCATTATAAAGTGATTGAATGATAGACAGTTTGCGCATTTAGCAAGAGATTTGCTAAATCCCAACTTTCACAGGATTTACGAATTTCCACAAATCGTTTCATGTATTCACACAATTTCCTAAAGCTGTTTCTACCCGATTACTATTTTCATTAACATGGAAAAATTGATTTAGCATTATACATGTAAAATTTTAAGGAACTAACTTGATGTAGGTACAGATATATCATTTAGGAAATGATTACAGAATTATGAGACTAAATACAACGCATTTGGTCTCGTATTACTATAAATGAAAATAAAACAGTCTTCTTACGGTACCAACTTTTTGCGTCTAGAATGAAGTTATTTTTAGAAATTAGCTATTGTTTTGCATTTATGTTGAATGCTATGCTTATATCTGAGAGTTAAAAATAATATTCATGTTTTTGCCATTTTTAAGACATCATCCAGATGCAAACCTACTTTAAATTTCATTGAAAGTGCCTATATTATGTATCTCTAGTACCTACACCTATAAATTAGTTATATTTTCGTATCAGAATATTATTAGAATATAAATAAAACTACAATCAATATAAATACAGAATAAACATGATATTTAAAAACAATGAGAAAATATAGATCAACTGGCTTTACATACTAGTTATGCGGCTGCAGGTAATTAACATTTTCTAAATAAAATTGCTAACAGAATATGATTGTACATTAAAATGTATACAATAGAAAATAGTGTAATAAATTAAGAATTAATAAAGTATTAAAATTTACCAACTGAAGGTTAGAGGTAATTCAAAATCTAATGGACTATGACCTTGCGCATTTACAGTTTATCTGGAACTCCGTCGCTGATTATAAAGTTAGGAATAAACACAGTTAACAGTGAAGTCAACCTCTCTGATTTTCACATAATTTTTGTCATATTAGGCATTTTGGTTTCACCAGTTTTGAAAGTCGAGAAAGACTATATTTCCTCACATTGTTCTTCAGTTTTCCAGTGGCCGACTTCTTGCTATATTGAAAGGAGAATGAAATAAATGTCACCAGAACTTTGGCTGGATTTTGATGCGAATTAGTTCCATTAATTAATACATCGCTTTAAATATGTACCTATTTCAATTACTACTCAATTAGAAAGTAAATATGTCTAAGAATTTAGTTACCCGTTATCCAAAACAGCTCTGTTGTCTTAGTCGCCCAGCCGTTTTACAAAATACAACCCGATAAATCTAAGAAAAGCAATGTTATCTTCATGCAAAGCCAGCGCGGAAATAAGAAAGGATGTATTTGGATAAAAATAAAAGCATTCAGATACACTTTTCCTAAAGCATTCCAACACACTATCCGTATACTACCCAGCTCTGCTAGTTTATATCTACAGGATCCGTTCCATAATTAATGAGCTCTATTTTTGCTGACGCGAGTTTACATCAAGTAATCAAACTCAATCGAGCTCATTTGGCTCCTAAACCAAGGACTTGTGCTTTTGTAAACCTCGTTGTCTAGAGGGGTGACATGAGATGGAGAGTTCGATAGAAAATGATTGGGCAAACTTTCTACAAAATCATTTTTAATATGCCTAAAGAGGCGTTTGGGGATTCGTGTTTGCCCGAATGGCACACCACGTCCCAAGAAAGCTCGCATGAACAAATCCAAAAAAAAGACCATATTCACCGTCTTTTTTGGAGTGGAAGGGATCATTTACTATGAGTTTGTGCCACCTACACAGACCGCGAATGCTGCCTACTACTTGGAGGTTCGAACAAAGCTAAAAGACAACTGGAATATTCCCCACGACAACGCAACTTGCCACATTGCTTCCGTCGTGAACGATTACTTGACCCGGATCAACATTGCGGTGGTGCCCCAGCCTGCGTACAGCCCGCATTTATCCCGTGTGGAAATTTCCGTCTTTCCTTGCTTGAAAGCAGTCCTGAAAGGCATGAATACGACTCGATGGAGATCGTGCAAACAAATGTCACAGCAATGCTTACAGACATCCCGAAACAGGTCAACGCTGACGCTTTCAAAACAAGGAAAAGTAGCTTACAAAAGTGCATCGACGCAGAAGGTGCAAATTTTGAGGAATATTGGTCAGTTGTACCAATTTNTGCCGACCTTGGAAGTTCAACAAATTTTATTGACCATTGTGTCGAGTGACAATTCTAATATTCAGTTTCTTCTATTCAAACACGAACACCCCAATAAAGTTCAATTGGGTTTTCTCTTGGGTCTGTTTCCCAGAAGTCAAGGCAAACGGCAGACTTCCGAAGACGCGTTGCACGTGTGTCGGTACCAAGTACCGGTTAATGCCCTTCTGGTACTCCCTCTATTTTTCTACCCCTCTGTATCTCTGTCTTCATTTCATAACAAATCACGTTCTTCTACTTTTTCTCCAACCAATCAACCTTTTCCAATTTGAATTTAATTCCACCCCTAAACTATTTCCTCCTCTTTTCCATTTTTTCTAATTTCAGAACTTCAGTCATTTTCAGACAGTTGCAATTTGGCCTTCACTTCAATCATTCGCTCTATCGGTTCGTTTTCTATTTTCATTAATTTCGAGTTTTATACAGTCCACTCTACATAGTTTTTTTTGTTATCCATTGGTTTTTGTTAAAGTGTTGTTAATCCTTAGTTAAGTGTTGTTAATAAATAGTTAAATCCAAGTGGTTTTATATCAACAAATTACATTTGCGTAATACCTAAAACTGGCCTCTACAGCTACATAAAAGTCGTCAAACTACGGCGACAACAATATAAATAAATGCATATAGTTTATAAAAAGAGCATTTAAATAAATTAATTAAAACTAAAAAATTCATTACAATATTATTTAACTCACCAGCCAAACATAGGGGGGCATGTAATGAGGACTGAGCTGCACCAAACTACCAAAATCATGCCGAAAGCAAGCCGTTTCGATCTTCTTCTTCTTGAATAAGTTAATGGTTGGGTCACTGCTAAATATCTGTCCACACTTATTGCACATAAACTTAAAATAGATGCCGTGCATAACAGTATATCCAACGATACCCATATGTCGCATAATAGCCAACCGAACACCCACGATCCTGAAATGAAAAATTTTTGATTTAATTTGGAATTGCGGCAGTGTCCTATTTTCGAAGAATATTTTTAGTAATAAATTACAAAGGAATATGAATCACCAGAACGCTTCATTGAAAGTTCAATTCAATTAAAAGCTTGACAATATTAATTTCAGTAATATAAGCAACAGCGACAAATTGAAAATGGCGCAAAAGGCTGTGTTGGATACACGGCCGGAATTGATAGTACGTGACAACATGTACCTTTTCATTTTAGCATGGATGTTCCTTCACCCTTTTCCTTATTTTAATGAGACTTTAATTTTTTATTTGACATAAGAGCGAGAAAGAAACAAACTCACTGAAATGGAGAAAAGGGTGCTCATTACCATGCCTCATTTAGAATAGACGAATATCTACTAGATCAGGAGTAATTGAAAATAAATCGGAAAACGTCAATCTCGAATTTGTGCTCCAAATATTTTTTTTAACATTATCGAAAATCTAATTAAACGTCGTTATATCCCTGCCGAAAACTTGAACATTTGTATTTCTATACAAAGTCAAACCAACTTCATTTAGGGCTGTTGTCTATGAAGCCGACCAATAAAGTCGGGACGACAACAATCGGGTGATGAGGATCGCGTACGTATAGGGTGTAACTGAAATAAGTGCGGAATTTGCAGGAACTATACAACAAGCAAATTAAGTAAATTTTGCAGGTCCGCATGTTCACGGTTTTTGAGAAAAACCTATCTGAAAGTACAGGCAGGGAACAGTATGGCACTGGTAGACAAATATTACAATGTAACGTCGCATTCAATCAGCTAGTAATTTAGATTTATCAGTTATTGACACCAGGTCAGTAAATCAGTTGTTTACACGTTTGAAACATATTTTTTATATTTTAGTCATAATTGTATATTTCTTTATTTGTAGGTATATATGTTTATTTGTATATTTATTTCTTTGCTTATTTGTAGGTATATTGTGCATTTGCACATTTGTTTCTTTGTTTATTAGTATC